CTTGGAAGAGCCTTGTAGCGCCGGTCTTTTAGACAACGAAAGACCTTGTCAGTACTCTATTCCAATTCCCTGGCCTGGTTTTCTCATGTCTGACACAATACGACTAAATGTGTTGCTCTGGTGGGGTGGATATACTGCTACGCATGCAGGGAACGTCTTTAGACTATACTGCTTCCTAACGTACCACCATTGCAGCCACGGTTGGCACGTACAGATGCCCTGGCGGAATAACTTAACACAAAATTAAGAGGCTAGATGGCACTACAAAGCTCACTAAACTTTTAAAATCAGACCTGAGCTCCGAGTTGCCAAGTAGTCTAAAGCACTCTCCATTACGGATCACTGCCATCTCACCTCTGTCTGCGTGGGTTCGAGTCTAAGATTCGGCGAATGTGGATATGTGAAAAATCTTGCCAGTAGCGTCTCGGGTGTTGGTGGTTCTTTCCTCAGATTTTCCGGTTTCTTCCTCCACCATTAATACTGGCCGCCATGAATAGCCTATCGTGTGCTAAAAAAATGGCGTTAAGCACCAGAACAAAAACAGCAACACAAAATCAGACCATAACATTTAGCGAAACGAAAATTAAAGTCCATTGGTTTTCCTCGTTACAGTAGTTTGCTAATGATTTATTGTTTGGACTTGAACATGTGGTTGAAAAATAAAAATTTATTAAATGATGTAGATTTAGGTATGAGACAAAATCGGAATTGTGCCATGTTCCGTTTGATGGCAAATGTTAACGCGTACAAAGTATGTACCAGAACAGCCAGATTCAATTTTTGACCTTTGAAAGTCGCACCAAAAGTTTTAAACGATATCATTCAAACTCTGAACAGAGAGGCAGCCATGTACCCTCTATAATGATGTATAGATCAAAACCTTCACCATTGATTCTGGACTTGTCTCCAAAACCAAATATTATGATGGAACTGTCAGTCAAAAAGGTTTTGTACCCGATACTATGAATCTGTATCCAGAAAAATATACCTGAAGCTACGTGAAAAATAGGTACCAAATATAGCCACCGCATTTTGTATTAGAGTAGGCGGGGTTGTGTGTATTTTTTGTATGGTTTTAATTTCACTCCAGACCGGGGAACAACTTGACAGCCACAAAGAACATTTCACAACACTTTGGAAATCAGCATCTTGAGAGAAGTTATCATATACTATCTGAAGAAAAGATGGAACACGAACCTATAGTGATAGTCGACAGTAGTTTTTTTACTCAGAACAGCAGTCACAGTTTTCAAGTGTAAAGGATAAATATACAACACAATGTCAAGATAGCCAGAAAAAGAACAAAATTTATTTCATGTTTTGCTCGTCAATTTGGCTGAAAGAGTCCCACAGTTTATTGTCATGATAGATCATTCTATCGAGACATAATAGAGAAATATTAAATGATCAGTCAAGAAGACAAATTGGTAGAGTTTCTGGAAGATGCAGGGACTCTTGTCTCAGAAGAGAAGATTTCGAAAAAGCTGTATGGAGAATTAATAAACAATTCCTTACCTCCATTGGCTTCTTCCAGAGGAGTACGGAGAATTCCCGTCCATCGACTATACATATGTTTTCAAAGTAAAATTCAGGTGTGAACTGAAAACTTATCATTGCCTGTGAAAAAGAATGAATGTCTGGAAACTTCATTACCTCATAACTCACAAATTGTAGTTTCTTCATATCCAGCGGTATGTGCTAAAGATGAACTTCCCCATGGGAGATCTAAATACATTATTGCGTACGTCCTCACCCCGATAGCATTCATCATCAAGGAACCTATAGGGTAGCAGACTACTTTCACGATGACCACAGCGTCTAATATATGGTTCTTTTGGATCAACTATCTGGCAGCCAATATCACTGACTGAATAAGAAGAAATGTTATACTGTCTGTACTGGCTTATAAGTCGAGTCAGACTGCTAACATCTAAAACTAAACCACACACACACACACACACACACACACACACACACAATATATGCCATAGAATAATGTACGTGCAGATCGGTATCTATGTTGTTTATTTTACTGATTAATTTTATTCCATTCCTTATTTGGAGATACAAAAACTAAACAACACACACACTCACACACACACAATATATATATATATATATATATATATATATATATATATATATATATATATATATATATATATATATATATATATATATATATATATGCCAGAGAATAATGTACGTGCAGATAGGTGTCTATGTTGTTTATTTTGCTGATTAATTTTATTCCGTTCCTTATTTGGAGATACAATGATGCCGTTCATCAGTGAGGGGAAAATAATGTGTGCATTTTCTTCATGAACCCATGCTTGGATTTGCCTTAGAAAATATAGTGACTTCAATCGAAACGACGACAAAGCTGAACTACAGTTTATCGATCATCAGTGCTATCCATTTACTTGAACACAATGGACAGTGATCATCAGCCTGTTTTTTTCTTGAACACAAAAACTATGACAAAGTAAAAATGTATTTTAGTGTGTGTGTATGTGTGTGTGTGTGGTTTAGTTTTTTAACGTAGCTTTAACAATTTTTCAGTCATATCGCTACGATGTCTGCGGTGTGACAATTTACAGTGATATCTAGCACTGGAGCATCAATTTGCAGACATGTAGCATGATGTCCCAACCAGTTGTACTATCGACACCAGGCCAACCAGTCCTAAAACTAACCTCTTAATGCTGAGCGTCAAGCGATGCAGCTGTTAGTACCATTTTTTAAAGACTTTGGTATGACTTGGCCATAGTTAGAACCCGCAACCTCCCGCATCCGAGGCTGACGCTCTAAACACTAGGCCACAGTTGCGGTATTACTAATCATCAGAGCAATATATGTTCTTGAACACACAAACCAGGATACTGACGAGACCACGGAAAGCCTAGTCGGCCTTCACAAATGTGTGAACCTTGTAGATACTTTTGTGTTTAATGCCTTTGGTGTTGTTTATAAATGGAAAACAAAGACCTTAGCCCATATTCACTACCTACCTACACACCCTCTCCCGACTGGCTTACTTAATATTTAAAAAATCAATGGTTTATTGAAAACGTGTTGATTTTAAAAATTGATTCAGTCTCTTTTTAGTTCTGTGTATGCTTATTTGATTCCTAAATCCCTTCTTTGTTGAGTATTCATATACTGGTACGTGCAGGGTGTTAGGCAGCCAGAGAGGCGTGAAAGCATTCTTTAAAATTTATTTATATCTTTCACAATTTGTAAAAAGAAGCAAAACTTATTAAAATTTATTTTGTGAAATTTTTAAATGTTTTGACTTTTCAGTCATCGTCATATTCAGAATTATTTGCTATCTTATTTAAAAAACAATAATCCCCCCAAATTTTAAATTGTTTCGCTTTTATGTTTCACAATTTTAGGGTATTTGTTTATAAAATTTAGTATTACATTTAGTCTCAGCCATAATTTTAACACTAATGAGGGTATTTCTTCTGTTGCCGATAAAACGATGACACTTTCGGCATTTAAATGATATGTTTATTCTAGTCAAAATGTTTGATATTCTTCAGGAATTATTTTCACTTTACGCTAAGGTCAGGTCTAATTTCAAAATTCTAGTATTATTTGAGTTAAGTTGAAAATAGTACATTTTTTCTGGCATGTTTTTCAGTTGCCGATAGAGTCCGGTTAAAGTTAGAAATTTTAGTGCTCTTTTTAGTCTAGTCCAATATTTTAAATGTATTTTTTAGTTTCAGCTAAACTTCGGTAGAGCTTTGAAATTTTAGTATTGTTTGAAGTCTAGGCACATATTTTCTTTACATTTCCTACTATTTACAACTGCTATGACTCTTTTATTACTACGTTTAGACGCGAATATGATATATTCCAGACATTTTTATGTATTTGCTTTGTCTGGGGAGGATTTTTGTTTTCTCTCCTAAGGTCTGTGATTTTCGTAATTTTACTGATAAATTTTGTCTCGACCTTTCTAACTTAATTGTGCGTTGGTTCCCTTGATTTAAGCTATTTATAACATTGGTGTTGGGTATTGTTCAGTGGATAGTATATGCGGGGTATTGAATAGCATATTATTGGATGATGGTCATTACACTATACTATAACATTATTACAAATATACATTTCAAAACGGAGGTCTAATGTTTATTTCCCGTTAAAGGCTTTATATTTTTGATTCTGTTTAGCATGATGATAATTTTGGAAGCTAAAGTGGAATATTATGCTACTGCTTTAACACTCGACATTATAAGCGTAAATTGATTATGTTAATTAAACATCATCCTTAATATCTTTAAAATGTGATTTGACCTTAAACATGAAATCTAATTCACTAGATCAACAAGCGCTAATCGACCTCCCATTATTCCTTAATTTGACATGAGATAAAACTTTTTTTTTATCTGTAGAAGTAAGAAACAATCCTTCATTTCAAATTTCAAAGCCTACTTGAATCGAAAACAAGCAATCACTCCATGCTATCATTGTGATGAGGGACCCCGAGTGACCGAGTAGTCTAAAGCGCTGTTCGTTACGGATCATTGCCATCTCACCTCTATCTGCTTAGGTTCGAGTCTAAAATTAGGCGAATGTGGATATGTGAGAAAGCATGCCAGTAACTTCTAGTGGGTCGGTGGTTCTTTCCGGTGATTTCACGTTTTCTTCCTCCACCATTAATACTGGTCGCCATGAATAGCCTATCGTGTGCTGAAAAATGGCATTTAGCCCAACAGCAACAACATCATTGTGTTGAGGATGGAATGTTCCAGGTTATACAAGCTAAGCTAAGGATGCAGAGCAGTAGCTAAAATTACGATTCTAATCAGACAAGTATCTAAGAAGAAGGATTGTTCCCATGGTGAAATAAAGATATGCAACGCTTTCTACTAACTGTCCAATGTACTCCAGTCTTAGAGATCATATATTATACGCACACCGTTATGCTCTTATGATTGAGCCTTTGTTATATGGCAGCCAGCCCTATATAACAGTATAGAACTGTTACTGTTCCGATGGCCTAGTGGTTAGAGCGTTAGCCTCGGAGGCAGGAGGTAGCGGGTTCCATCCCCGGTCGAGTCATACCAAAGAATTTAAAAAATGGTATTGACTTCTGCCTCAATTTGCGCTTAGCATTAAGAGGTTAGTATTAGGATTGGTCGGCTTGGCATTAGGATAATGTGACTGGGTGTGACATGATGCTGCGCATTTTCGGCACGATAGCCCAGTGATAGACATCTGTAGAAGCTTTTATAGTGCAGACATCGTCGCGATAAGATTGACATTGTTAAAGCTACTTTAAAACGCGAAATACACACACACACACACACACACTTTCACACACTTTCACACACACACACACGCACACACACACATTTCTGTATCGAAAATACGACGCAGTTATTTTTATGTGTGAAGAGTTTCATTAGGACGATGAAAATATATATGTAGTTCAAAATCTTTTGAATTATCTTTATTTAATTCCTACTGTTTGATTTGTTTTATGCATATATGTGCATTTGATTTTGATTTCTGATGTTCTACATGTCATTACTGTTGGGGAGACGCATCTAAAGCTCATATTTTATACTGAATCTCCGAGATCATGTGTTTGTATTTGCATTTGAGTGAGTTTATGAAATAAAATGTGGTTTAAACTGATGCAAAGCGTCTACGTGAGCAAATTAAATACACAGGCATGTATAAATATGAAAAGTTGTCTCTAAATCATGGATGTTATATTCATACTAAAGCAATTTGCCTGGGATGGGGCAGGCTTTTTCTTGAGGGATTATTATGTGATTACTATGGAAACCAATATTCAGCGAACTAATTATTAATTTTTTAAGATATTAAAAACTTCTGAGTTTTTGTAAAGTCATGTCTTACACGCCGATTAATGTTAACACAGAGTGCTGGTGTGTGGCAGTAACAAAATACCACGCTAATGAACAATAAGCTTTCACATTTATTAATTATGTGTGATACACAAGATGAAACAAAAGCATATATTAACTTGAACTGATTCTTTATGTTCTAAATGTTAACATCCCCAGATTTCTAAACCAAATGTAATAATATGAAACACACTAACACGGTGCGTATCACAAATTCCATTAAAATCGATTTCTTAGCAGATTTGATCAAAACAAATGTTAGCTTATTGGCATAATAATAACTTAAATATGATTCTAATGATAGAATACTTTTTCTCTCATCCTACCATTTTGCACCGAACATGCATAGTTATTTTCATTTTCAAACGAACGAAATCGCATTAAGTTTTTCAACTATGTCATTGAGATTTTTTCAAGTGTTTTTCTTAACTATCTCTAAAATTTGATATTTAACACAATCTATAAATGCATAAAAATCAAGGATGTCTTTATCAATTATTCGTGCCTGTAAAATTACTCTAAATTAATTCTACAACATAATTTGAAACTTAAAATGATTATTGATGTGTTGGTAGAAAACAATAAAACTAAATAGAACCATGTAACTTTTTGTCTTTTATTTCCATCTCCAGCCATCATGTAATAAAGACGATTTGTAAACTTCTGACAAATTCAAGGGCCATATTAATTGCAATCGAATTTTGATTTGAAAAACAGCCGAGCACACTCACCGAAACTAGATTAATATTTATGATCTTTTCACGACAGGTTTTGAAGAGGATTCAATTCCAAAACATTAATTTTTCTTAATATAGTTTACTTGAGTTACATGCGATTGTATATTTTGGGTTTCAAACAGAAATATGCAGCAATGACGAAAAAGAAGAAAGATAACCAATCAATCGGAATGGATTTTATTTCTCTCATTGCAAAGAGAAAAGAGAGGAACACTATCTAGATACGTGGTAATGTAACAAGTCTAACTGACCCAAAATCTAAGATATGGCAGTTTATGTTGGTTTCTAAACAGGCCAAGTTGCAGTTGAAATTTCTGTTGAGACCGATCCTTAATTGTAAACAAGAAGTATAGTCAGGTGTTATAATAATTCTGGGTAGAGAAAAAGCAAGAAAATAAACAAACGGTTACAATTATATTTGTCCAGTATCACTCAACAATGTAAATGGCTGCTGCGTAATGTAGTCCCTTTGGGACTTTCAATATTGATTATAACCTAGTGTGAATTACTTTTCATTTGCTACAGTACTAAAGGAGCATTAGCTAGCTCTCCTGTACATCATATTTTTAAGCTGAAAATGAGGACTTTTTTATTGCAAAGTCATCGACCGTCTTTTATATTTGCTTAACAACACAATCGATTAAATATTAAAAATGGTATCCTGTGCCCCTCAGGGAAATTCACTGCCGTCCAATCAATGTTTCCTGGGCATATACAAATGATGTATTCATTACGTCAGAGTTAATGATGTCACTTCTTACCTCTGTGTACCAAAGTACTATGAACCTTTAGAGAGACAGGTGGTTTTGACGTTATCCGCAGTTAATATAATTCACAACAATAAATGTGCACAGTGCCAGGCCTAGCAAAAAGCGATATTGAAAAAGAATCGTCTGATTTACAACTTCCCATAAAAAGACTTCATAAAAATTGCTCTTTGATAATTCCTATGTAGTATTGATATCATTTTACAAATTGTTTCTTGGAGTAATATTTTTTCTCAGATGTTGATATAATGCATTTTTAACTGCTCATCTGTTGCGTTTGACATTGTGTTTGTTTGTCATGAACGCAGAGTGTGTTTTCTACAATTTTTCTCCGTAATTGTTTTCATTCTGGAACATCTATTATTAAGTCCCAAATGGTGCACGTCGATATATAGTTACCTTTCTAGTCATTCGATTGCTCTGCTACTTAATGTTTTGAAAATATGTTGTTGTCATGGTTTCTTTTTAAAACGTTTAATACTTCATCATGTTACCAACAATATCTTCAACTAAACCCATCTGCTTTAAAGTTGGCACATTAGAATTTGATTTGTAAGAATTGACCATTTTTCCGGTCTAAATTGGTTCTACGCAAGCATTTACAAAGGCCATCAAAGATTTTATTCCGATTGCTGCTATTTGAGACCAGATTAGATGCACAAGAAAACCCCAACCTGAGGATTCGTTTCTCTACATCAAATATTGTGACACATTTTATTGATTTCAACTGTAATAGATCCAAAATAAACATGCTCGTGCAGAGTGTGTATTTTTTTCGGTGAAATTGCAACATAAACTGGAAAAGTGCGAATGACAATGGACAGCTAATTACCCACTGAACCATTGTCATATAAAAATATATCTTATGACTTATAAACAGGACCATTCTGAAAAAATATGACTTGTAGACAGGATCAGTAGACAGAACAACATTCATATAAAATGATTTCTTATGACTTGTAGACAGGACCATTGTCATAAAATATGACTTTTGTAGACAGGATCAGTAGACAGAACAACATTCATATAAAATGATATCTTATGACTTGAAGACAGGACAATTGTCAAACGATGTCTGCAGTGTGGAAGTTTATAGTGATGTCTAGCACTGGGGCATCAAGCCGCAGACATGTAACATGCTGTCCCACCCAGTCACATTATCCTGACTTCAGACCGACCAGTCCTAACACTAAAATCTTAATGCTGAGCGTCAAGAGAGGCAGCTGGTAATACCATTTTTTAAAGTCTTTGGTATGACTCGACCGGGGATGAAACCGATAGTATTACAGGCAATTCTTCATAAAGAATATGATTTCAATGTGGAAAGGTAAGGGGGGGGCGAAATGTGGACAATGGGTCTTGTTACGTATCGGCTCGTTCAAAGTACCACAATGAAAGAATGAAGACAACAAGCTTTGTAAATTTTAGCAAAAATAACGTGTTTCCCTATAAAACATGAAGACAAATATATGAAACAAGACTTACGATTTACGAAAAGGATCCAAATTGTTTGTTCTGAAGATATGAAAACACAAGTCCTATGAACAGTTTTAAATTAACACAGTCTCAAGTTCGGTTCGGGTACAAGATGAGGAATGGTCAGACGAAGGCTAACACAAAAATCCTATAATTTTCACAGTGAAGCACAATTTGTATTTTTCCTTTCGAATTTAGAAGAATATAAGAAAATGTCTTTGTTCAAACCTATAGTGTTGTTCTCCAGGGAAAATAATTATTTATAAATTTAGACTAAGTACAATTATTTCCACTAACAAAACATAAATCATTCTACGTAGATACATGAACAGACAACTTCTTGCGGCACAAATATTACCTTTTTAAAGTAATAGAATCTATGTGATTCTAAGATGTTGAAATCGGCTACGACTGTGACTTTCTTACAGATAACCAAGCATATAAACCAAGATTAATACGTCGTTTCATGTACACACGCACGTAGGACACCATTAATTTCGCAATGCATCTGGACATTAGGAAAGCCTACTAAGTATCAGCCAACCATTTTCATAGCTACTCCTAAATGTTTACTTGCGACGAATTTACTATCAAACACAAATCTTGCTTACATGACTCACATTTATGATTTAATTAAACACGATATTTCTAACAAAACATAAGACCCGTGCTAACATAATAATAATAATAATAATAATAATAATAATAATAATAATAATAATAATAATAATAATAATAATAATAATAATAATAATAATAATAATAATAATAATAATAATAATTACATTTAATAATTTAAAAAAGAAAGACACAACATCGACTGCAATCGTTGTCCGAATTTATTGTTGTGGTTGAAAGCTCAGTGTGGACTTGTATGTCTTCACAATCCCATTCTTCCGTTTATGGGATAGTGAAGACTTGTTCTTGCCTCCTTTTTTCTATTCTGAATCCAATTATTTATCTCATTCTTGCAAACTCAAAGTGATTGGCAATGGCAGCAGCTATGACACAATAAACCACAACAATTTGGCAGAAAGGACGATTTGCGTTTTAGGAACATGTTTTCCACACCGTACCCACAAGGGTTGCCTCTGTAGGTCTTGCAGAGATTAACTCGAAGAAACAATGCTTACTGTGGTGGTTAAAAGGGGTGTTTAAGGGCATGATGTTCACTTTTTTTTATAATTGACGAATTGCGAATTGTC